AGAAGAAGAGAGAGAGAGAGAGAGAGAGAGAGAGAGAGAGAGAGAGAGAGAGGGTACGATAACGATATCGCGATTGCTTTTTTCTTTTTTTCCTCTGTCTCTTTTTTTTCTGTCTTCTTCTTCTGCTCAATCCGTCGGAGAAAAACGTTTTCGTTGTTTTCGAGAATGGGAAACGAAGAATCTCGAAGAGGAGCATGTTTGTTCGTTTTCTCTCATAATCTGGCCTATTGTGCCGGAAATAATTCATGATTAAACGTATAAACGAATGCTTTGACCTTTGTTTTCTTCCTTTTTCTTTTCTCTCTCTCTCTCTCTCTCTTTTTCGGGAACGTCGAGATCGTAGAAATTCGGCGAATTCGTAGAAATTCCTTTCATGCGCCGGGATCAACTCATACCCGTATGTTTCACTGTGCCTCTTTTATTCTCGAAGGAACAACGAAATTATTTTTCCTTATCTTTCCTGCGAATCGATTCTTAAATGGACTTCCTTTCGAGTCGCGATATTAAGACTTGCGATAATCCGTAAAAACGAATAAAAAATAATTTTCGAAACGTCTATCTCTTGTCGTAACAATCACGTCGAGCAAAAATTGTGAAAATTAAAGATCCACGAGTTTATGATTCTTCTGAAAGTTCAAGTAAATCGAACGCAAAATCTTTGATTAAAAAGGAGATAACGTTATTATTTTTTTTTTTTTCCCCCTCTTTTCGACAGATACGAGGAAGATCTCGAAGACGGTGATTCGCGAAGGAAAAGATTCGACACGAATTTCAGATGAATTCGATCCACGATGCCCGCATTCTTTCGCTCTTGCCCTTGTTCCTGGTCCTCTTGACGTGCCACGGATCCACCGGAAGAGGACCGGGACGAGAGGATTTGTTCGAGTTGTCGGTGATACATCTGAACGATTTCCACGCAAGGTGAGAAAGTGTTTCGATTCGATCGAATCGAAATGTTAAGTAAATGTTAAGTTAAATGCGGCCTCTATTAAATTGTTGCAATTTAATTTTGTTCTGCGCCCCATCTAAACTTGTCGGATCGTTGAACTTCTCTCGTTAAGAAAAAGTGATGGCCGGCGAGATATGAAGTAAGGGGGTCGATTCATCGTTAAATTAGTTGAGCAAATTGCAAGACGTATTGTTGGTCGATATGTGTATAGCATAGCGGATGGAAAGTTGAAAGTTGATGAAGGTTGTTAAGATCGTGAACAATGAAAAATGTAGGTCTTCGAGTATCTGGATCGCGAAAAATATTCTTCCATTTTGATTCGGTTCGGTTGATTAAAAATAATGTTACATAGGCACAAGATTGTTCGAAATATCGTACGGTTATTTTACAAAATTGAGTTGGGTTGTTGAAATATTCGCATTTATTTGAATAAATTCGAGAAATTCTACGTGTCAAAGACGTTTATTTTTTATGAATGTGATATCATCTTATGAATAATCTTATTAACCTCGCATGAATATTATGAAGAAATTATAATCGATTTCCGAATCGATTGAAAAGGAAGATCATATCATTTTACAAAATTTCTTCTAATTCTAATATAAATATTTCAATATTTTAAACAAAATTTTTCAAAAACTCTTCCTTCTAATAAAATGACAAAGAGTGATTTCGTTCAGCATTAATTTGTAATATTCGCGTGATTAATCGATTGATAAACCGATTCGTTAATTTTCGATCTATCATCTTATTATCGATCGATTCAAGCGATGAAAGTGAGAGAAATTATCTCTATTTCCTGTTATCTCTAAACACAATCGTCACGTTCGCGTTGTTTTTTTTTTTTTTTAATTCAAATCCACGATCTTTCGCGAATAAATAATCCGAGAGATTCGAAAATGGAGGATCGAAAGAATTCGCGATTCGAGGAATTAATCGTAAAAAGAAAAAAAGAAGAGCGAGAGAGAGGGTCTGTGACGATCGGTTACGTAAACAGAACAATCGAATCGGAAAGCGTGGCATGCGCCATTCGATTCCAAGGTCCTGCCAAGTGAAATCTCAGGGTCAGGGACACCATGATTCGGGTCAATCGTCTTCGTTTCTTTACCGTGTTCCTTTTTTCTTTTCTCCACGGTTGCTCAATTCTCTATTAACCGACGACAAAATTTCCATTCCCTGCACGCGCTATCTCGGACGCGTAACAATAACAATCGATCCGATCTTTTCGGAACGATAGATCGATTTTTCGTTTCGAAAAATTATTATTAATTTTTTTTCAGGTTCGAGCAAACCAATTCTCGATCCGGAACGTGTCAAGAGGGGGAGGAGAAGAGTTGCGTGGGTGGAATAGCGAGAATTTCCACGGCTGTGAATCGGTTGTTGAAGGAGAGGCCGAACGCGATTTTCCTTAATGCTGGGGACCATTATCAGGGTACTCTGTGGTACACCGTTCATCGTTGGAACGTGACGGCAACCTTCATGAACATGCTGCCCCACGACGCCATGGTAAAACGAAAATTACGATCAATATAATCAAATAAGGAGAGAAAAGAGAAGAGAAACAGAATAGAGAATTCTTTCCGCTGCTCTATCAGCCAGTTGAGCTTTAATTGGGTCAACGAGTTAACAATCGATCGTTTCGTACGATCGTCCGGCTCGATCGCTTCGAACGAGATCCCATCCGAATTTCATTTCGATAAAGCGAGAATGAAGAGGAAGATTTGGATCGTGATCGCGTGAAAATTAAAACGCACGCGAGAGGATGGGATTTATCGTCGAAGCGATCGATGAAATCGGAGAGGAGAAGAACGAGATGATTTCGAAAATAGGTCGATTGCGGTAATTATGCGATAACGATAACTTTCGGGAAGATAATAACGAATGATAATTCGTATCTTCGTAATGTTGCCAAAGAAAGGCAACAAAGATTGATAATTTTCTTTTTTTTTTAAATTATCTGTCCGCGGAGATATCGTTCGATCGTATTGGTTATAATTATATTCGTTTCTCCTTTTTCCAGACGATAGGGAACCACGAATTCGATAATAACGTGGAGGGTGTGGTTCCATTTTTGAAAATGGTCAAGGCACCCGTGGTGGTGACCAATATCGACGCGCACGAGGAACCAACGATGCAGGTTGATCGATTGATTTCCTTCTTTGAAAAGTTTTTATGACGAGCAGAATTGGACATTGATCCAAATTGGAAAAGTAACCAGTTAAAAAATAAAGTTACTTTAAACGATTAACTTACTTAAAAAGTGTACTTGGTTCGTAGCTCGATCGCTTTTCAACTATTCGATCGTTTGCTATCACAATTATTTCCGATTGTTATACACGCGCTTGGACGATAAGTTGAAGTAACTTTATTCGTTCGCAATTTCGATTATTTACAAATTTTGCCCGCCACTGACCACGAGTATCGCGTTCGATCCTCAGGGCCTGTACAAGAACAGCACGATCATCGAGAGAAATGGGACGAAGATCGGGGTGATCGGCGTTATTCTCTCAACCACAAACGTTCGTACACCTTAATTTGAGTATCTCTCTTGTTTCATCCTTGTTCCCTTCTTCAAATCTTCGTTCGCGTAATCTAAAAGTACGATACATTCGAACAATAATTCGATCCGCGCGAAGATACTTCTTTTTTTTTACAATATCGCGTATAATAAAAGGAATATCGTGCGAAAAACAATATTTTTCGTGGCGAAATTACACGTAATTTCAATGGTCGATGAATCGGTGTTGAACGCGTTCGAAGAAGCGTTTGAGATTGATTGAATTGCGCAACGGCGATGCAAACGATTACGACGCGAAGATTTAACCGGAACAACGATTAACACGAACACGTTTCCATAATTGTTGAGACTTGGAAATTACCAACAACAACAGAAAATCGCCACTACCGGGAAATTAAAGTTCCTGGACGAGGTGGAAACGGTGAACGAGGAGGCGCGGAGATTGAAATCCCAAGGGGTCGATATTATCATCGTTCTAAGTCATTGCGGGTTGGACGTGGACAGAATAATGGCCGCCAAGTGTCCTTTAATCGACCTCGTTGTCGGCGGTCACTCCCACACCTTTCTTTACACGGGTATTCGTTTTTAAAAAACTATTTTTTAATAAGGGAGAGTTAACCCTTTCGCTATACGATTCGAGTTATTGCACATCGAGTATTTTTTCTCCGGAAAGCATTGATTTATTCTTTTTGTCGTCAATTTTTTTTCTCACCGATCAAAACAACGATCTTTCTCGAGCACATTTTTGTTGGAGAAGTCGCGAAAGGGTTAAGGAAGAGGATACGAGACGAGAGGGATCGCGTGAAAAGTGATCATCACCTTTTTTTTCAGGACCGCCCCCGTTCATCGATAAACCTGCGGACAAATATCCGGTTGAGGTGGTCCAGGAGGGGAGCAACAGAACGGTGTTGATCGTTCAAGCGGCGGCCTTCACAAAGTTGGTAATTTGTTCTCGCTTGTCCCAACTTCTTCTCTTCGCTTTTCTTCTCGTGAATCAGCCTTCTCTCTGTTCCTCTCTGTCCGCAGATACTTGGGAAACTTGACGGTGTGGTTCGACGGGGAAGGCGAGGTGGTCGATTGGGACGGAAATCCGATTCTCCTCGACAAGTCGATCGAGCAAGGTAGGAAAAAGTGAAAAAAAAAAAAAACCCATCTTCCATGTTTAAATCGGAATTTTAATTTTCGACCAAAATATCTCTCCAGATCCCGAGATGGTGAAGGCTTTGCAACCGTGGAAGGTGGCCGTGGACGAGCAAGCGAACGTGAAGATTGCCAAATCGAGGGTGTATCTGGACAACGAATGTTGGAAGAAGGAGTGCAACTTTGGAAATTTGATCACGGACGCTATGGTAGACTCCGTACGTGACCATTGTCGTTTCGATCGACAACCGATTCATTTATCCATCTCCTAATAAATTTCGTCGCTGGTTTGATCGTAGTACGTGGATAAAGCGGAGAATAAAACCGTTTGGACTTATGCCGCGGTCGGCGTTATGAATACAGGAGGGATACGCATTCCCATCGACTCGGCAGGCAGAGATATTACGTATTCCGATCTGTTGATGGCTCAACCTTTCGAGAACACGTGGGACATTCTCGAGTTGAACGGCAGCTGCATCTTGCAGGTATTTGCAAAATTGTGTCAAAAATTCAAAAAAAGGGAAAAAATTGGGACGAATTTATTTGAAGAAATCGCTTTTTCCACAAAGATGCGGTCGATTTTCTTCTTGTCCAACTTATCTTGTTTCTTGCACGTTTCTCTATATACCGGCGTGTAACAGGTGTTGCCATGCGTTAGGCTCTCTTTTCTTCGCGAACGGCCGAATACTCAACCGATGAATAATATTTGAACGTTTTTTCGTCTTATTTCAGATCTTAAACATGAAAGAAAAGCTGGCATGGTCGGGGTTAAAAGTGATTTACACCGGTAGCAGCAAGATCGTGAAAGAGGTTAAAATAAGGTACTTGTCAACCTCGAATTCGAATATCGATCGTTCATATCAATCGTGTCGTTCGATTCGTTTCATTTTTCTAGATGCCGAGCTTGCGAGGTGCCGAAATTCGAGGACTTGAAGCAGGACGAATGGTACAGAGTCGTGGTGCCAACGTTTCTCGTCGGAGCAGGAGACGGATTCGTTCCCTTCAAAAGCTGCGGCAAGAATCACGAGGTCGGATACTTGGACTGGGAACAATTGGCCAAATACATGAAGAAGCTCAGCCCGATACTAGTCGGGGAGGATCGTCGGGCGATCTTTTTAAACGAAAATGATCTCGACGAAGAATGATTTATTGAGAATATTTTTATAATTATATCGCGCTTGATTTTTATAGAACAACGAGTGAGATTGATCGAGATTTATTTGAAATAAATGTACCGTGCGTTTCGTAATTTTGTGCGTTCGATTGTTCCGTTTCATCCTCGACAAATTTTGCTGGTTCTCGGCAAAAAAAGTTTGAAGCGATACGCGGTATCTTTGTGAAAGCAGGAAACGTTTGGCCGCTTATCTCGCGGTATCTGGACATCGCGGCAGGTGAAGCATTTAAATAATATATCGAACAGGTGAAATAACAGCTGTTCGTCCGCCCCTCCACCGGGACGCGTGAACAACTTTGTAGATGCCGCGACAACTCTCTCTCTCTCTCTCTCTCTCTCTCTTCATCGAAATTCGCCATCCACCTTTCAATTTCCTCCAATCCCTTCCACCCTTCGTCCAATTCTTTCCGATTAATCTCCCGAGCTAGGATTCCAAAGCACCGGAATTAAAGATTCCTTCTTGATTGCTTTTAAACCGTTACCACGTTGTATTATTATTACATCGTTAACTTTTAAGTTCAGGTTCAATTTCACGAAATTCACTTTCCTTTCGATCGATCTTTTCTTTAAACTATATATAGTTTAGAAATCCGAATGCAGGTTAAATTTTTCGATTCCTTCCGAAAATTTCTCGTGCAAAATGGAGAACGTTTACCCGCCGAGGAACGGATCCTCGAACGGATTTGACCCGGATTTGCTCGTCATTCACAGCCGAATCCAAGGAATCCGAGGTTTGTCCGATCGACGATCCGTCTCTCCGTGGTCAAACGGCGGTGGTGCTGTCTCGACATCGGTTCTGCGGGAAACCTTCTGGAAGGGAGGAAGGGAAGAGGGGAGGAGAGCGTTCGCGAAGGAAGGAGGAGGAGAAGAGGCCGAGAATCGGATAGATATGCGGCAGGTGGGGGGAAAGGGAGAAGGGGGACGGTGGGCGAGAGGGAGGGAGCGGAGCGAACGAGGAAGAGAGGGGATGGAGAAAGAGGAAGAGAGAGAAGGAGCTCGTCTCGAAAGGGGAACGCAGAGGGTGGAACGCGGCGTTGGAAGTGGAGGGGAGTTGGCGAGCGCAGGGGCGAGGAGGGGGTTGGAAAGGGAGGGGAGGGAAGGCAGCTGCAAGCGCGGAGCAGCATGGCCTCTGGTGCGAGGGAGAGAGAGCGCTTGGTGGGTAGAGGAGAACGGGAGCAGTGTCATGGAGGCCAGTGTCTGGCTGGTGGCTGTCCGTCGACCTGCTCCCTTGCTTCGTTACCTGACAGCGCGCTCCTCAGTGTTTCCAAAGCCGCGTCCACCGATGGATCGAGCCGCGATCCTCTAGTGAGCTCCTCAAGCTCGCCACGCTCGGATCCCACCACGTCCCACCGATAAGAAGTGGAACCGAATCCGGGATCCGGTTGATCGTACGCGGAGGAATCCATCCCGACGTGTCCTGGCCAATCGGAAACGGAAGCTGTGCGTGTCGCGAGTACACGGTTTCCAAAGGGAAACGGCGGGTGAACGAAGAAGAACGATATATATATATATATAGAGAGAGAGAGAGAGAGAAGAGAGAGGGCAAGAGTGAAGAGGAGTGGAGTGTAAGAGGGAGATAGAAAGAGAGAAAGAGGGAGGAAAGTGACACGTTACGATACGATCGATCCAACGACCAAAGTTATAACGTGCGTTTAAAACGAACACGGGTCCGAAAACGCGATCGGGACAATGTGCTCGTGACAAGAGGGAGCGCTCTTTTCTCTTTCTCTCTCTCGTTCGTCATAGCCGACCCGTTTCAAGTTTCTCGTGTGCACGTTCATCGGTGAAAGAAAGAAAGAAAGAAAGCCAACTAGACTCTTTCTCTTTCGACGACGACGACGACGAGGACGACGAGTGGCAAGCGAAGGAAGAATAGGAAGAGGAAGAAGAAGAAGAAGAAGAGGAGAGAGAAGGAGAAGGAGAAGGAGGAACGAGCAACACCGAGCGAAGAAAGATACACCCGAGGAGCCCGAGGAGGAAACGGATAAAACGTGGGCGTTGAGTGATTGTTGTCGGTGCTAGTTTCCATTGGGAGTCATGAGAGATACCAGCGATATGATGTCGGAGGACTCCTTGTCCGAGGTACGTAATAGATGATATAAAGTCGGTCTCGTTTCGTTTTCATTCTTCGCTCCCGATCTTTTCCATTATTCCGATCGTGACACGAAAGGAGAATTCCCTTCTCGATTTCGAGAAGAATCAAAATTTTAGAAGACAATTTAGAAATTAAAATCGGTGAGAGAAATGATGGAAAAATCGTGGCTCGTCTGCGCCAGAGGGACGACAATTTAGAAACACCTTGTGTGCATCGTGTATATATAGTGGCCCGTTTACAGGGGTCCCGGAAAGGAAACGCGTCCCACCTCGGTCTCCCGGCTTTCGTTTCCACCGGTGCTTATCGTTACATTTTATCACGCACATTTAACGCCTCATCCTGCAAACTTTGACAATAATGCTCGTTGCGTTTGCATTTTACGCTTGCAAAAAATTCGAATCTCTTTTCTCTCGTTCGTTATTCCCATCTTTTCCATCCGTTTTTTCATTTCTCTCGATTACGAATTTCATATTTACCGATATACACACTTGGCTAAATTATAATTCGAAGGAATTTTTATCTATACTCGCAGTGTTTGCATTCGACGATTGTTCGACGTCGAATTTGACGCATTTTTCGCGTCGCGAAAAATGAGATACGATTAAATTTTCCACGTATACAAGGAAGGGGGGGGGGGATCACGAATCCAATAGCGCTATCGGTTCTCCCGGTATCTTCCTCACCGGTACGTATGTAAATTTGCATTCGTTTTATGTTCAAGATACTCGTCCCCGTTTTCTATAGGTTCCCTTATATACGTGCATTTTATTCGACTCTTTGGCCGAGCTCCTTTTACCCACGGGGGAATAGAATTTGCTCTCAATTTTCTCGACTCTACTTTATCGAAGATGGAACAAATTTTCTCTTCAACCCGGATTGCACGAGATATATCTCGCGATTCCGTAGAAAAATAGAGGGAGCTCTTCCCTCCGCGGAATGTACCGTTAATTTCTTTGGCTGGTTGATTCGAAAGGAAACAAAAAGAAAAAAAAAAGGATTCGGTTTTAAAAGGTGACGTTATTTAAAGCTCGTCACTAATTAAAAAGTTCAACGTTGCGACGATTCGTTCCTCGGGGGAACGCCAAACAAGAAAGCTTTGGATCGATTAAAAAAATGTCTAACGTTGCGGTAAACAGCTATCCTTCCCTGTTTAAACTGGATCATCGAGTAAAATGAAAAAAGGTTTCGACGCGAATATACGCATAATTTTCTTCGAACGTAGAAAATTCGTTCTTTCGAATTTTTAGTGTCGAAAGATTTCAAAAAAAAAAAAAGAAAAAGAAAAAAAAGAGAGATCAAGGATTAATGCACCGAGGCTAGTAACTAAAAAAGTTGCCACTTCCATTGCAAAAGTAAAAACGATAGTTTACTTTTCTATCTTGTAACACGTTTCTCCCGAAAAGTAATTTGTCAATGCTGTCTCGCGTTGCTGCTGGCTGTGACGACACGAGAAATAATTTGTTCCCTCTACCGTTTCGCCCGAGTCATTATTCATGAGCACTCGACTCCTTGTGCGAATAATGCAACGGTGTAGAAACGGAAAAGAAAAAAAAAAGAAAAAGAAAAAGAAAAAAAGAAAACGCTTTTCGACGAGGCAGCAAATATTTCTCTAAATAAGATTCACTTTACCGACTTTCGTCGACTTTCTTTATCTCGGTAATAATAATACGCTGTATTTTAAAAATTCTCTACAAAATTTTCACCGTGCCACGATCGACGTAACTATTTCGTACATTCCGAATAAACGATAAGAAATATTAATACGAAAATCGATGAATGATTCCGATCAATGGAGCGTTCGAAGGCTCTAATTGAAGCCGGAAGGAAAAAAAAAGAAAAATATCTAAAAATAGAAATTCTTCGACGAGATGGATAGATTCGACACGCGAAGATAAAAGAATTGCAAAGATCGAGGAAACTGATAAAATTCAGATCGATGTTGATTTCTGATATCAGGAAGAACAGGAGAAAAAGCGTTTGGAGAGAAGAAATTCGCGATTGATGGAAGAAGAAAGGAGATCGCAGAGATCGAGGAAGGCGATAAAAAAAAGGGGGAGAAGGAGCAGCCGATAAAGTTCTTCGGAGGATCAGAAGTAGGCGTTGATCGTAATCTCTCGGAGATTATTCCAATTGAAAACAAAGAAGAGGGGGGGGGGAGGGAAAGAAAGCATTTTCGAGCCGCGGAATCCTTTTCGTCGGGGGAAGAAAACGCGTTTTGTTCCGTAAATAGAACGTTAACAGGTTATAATGCCAGTGCATCGATCGTGAACGCCGAAAGGAAATGTCGGTCGACGTGTATCGAGCTTGCTTTGCCGCTAATTAAAACGTTAATGGTACTCGCCGCATACCAATTAAAGTCGATGCATTCCCGTCCACTGTATTAACAGTAATTTCGTGCGTTTAATAATCGTCCTGCGCCCCGAGCGCTACCTACACACTCTCTCTCTCTC